TAGTCCACGGAGCTATCTGGCCGGCCCTCTAAAGCAGGTTTTTAACTCTGCTGACTAATAAAATTATGATGGTCCAAGGCAGCATATAAATAAATACATGTGGAAAAAGAGGGGAAGAAAAAAAATTAAAAATGTTAAATGAACTAGTGAAAAAAAATTAAAGGGACAAATGCCTAAATTCTATAGGTTGCAATGATGGCCCACTGCATGAATTTCTAGATGTACAATTAAGAATAAAGGAAAAGAAAATACTAAATACTTTGAACAAAGATTCAACTGGGTAACTATCAGGTGAAGAAATTACGTTTTAAGTAATTCTAAAAAAATTCTTAAAAAGTTTCATCTAATTGATAAATAATAAAATTTTTCTATGTGTTTTTATATATAGACTTCCAATAAAGAATCTGACATACAAATAAGTGCAGCGTATCTTTAACATCAGTTTGAGAAATAAAAGAACCGCTCGGAAGTCTTTCCCACATATGCCCCCTAGTGGCAGGAACGCAAATAAAACGAAGGAAGAAGGTTAAAAACCTGTAGGGCCCAGAGGGGTCTGCTTCTTGCTTCATCCATCTGCTTTTAAAAATACACTGGGGTTCCCCCACATCACCTCTTCTGAGACTGCTGATGTCAGAAGTCCCAGGTGCGTCCTCCCTGAAACCACTTGTGGCTACAGCCACAGTACTGGTGGAGCCTGGCTGTCACATGCAACGGCAACAAATCTGGGTTCCTAGGCACCCAGGCACCGGAAGCAAGCACTGATTTCTTGAGAGAATGTGGGCATTTGAGGTGCCTAAGGAAACCGGGTCATGACGGGAGGTGAAACTGGAACCCCATCAAGGTAAGCCTGGGTCACACTGCTTTTCTCGCACCTACTAGTGGCAGATGTCTTAGTTATTTTTCGCATTGCTTAGACAAATACCCAACACCCAAAGTTAAAGGAGAAAGGATTTATTTTGGCCCAGTCTGCAGGTGTTTCAGTCCAAAGTTATCTGACTCCAAGGAGGGTGGCATCACAGAGAACAGACAGTTCAGGCAGGCAGAAGGCAGCAAAGCAGCCCGGCAGCCCAGCAGCAGCAGCAGCAGCAGCAGCAGCAGCAGCAGCAACCCTCTTTCCGTCCTTGTACTCTATGCAGGCTGCCTGCCCGTAAGCCAGGTGGCATTCACACCCAGGGTCGGCCTTCCATTTTCCATACTCAGACTATGCAAAACCAACCAGCAGACTAACTTAAAAATCACACACCCTAATCCCAGCCTCATACCCTTAATCCCAGCATGACACACTCTAGATCCAGCCTCCTCTGAAAAGTGCCACCAGTGACCATCAGGCTTCGGGACAAAACCATGCCAGTAGTTTATCTTAAATTAACTGAAAGAAAATAAGCAATGGCTTCCTATATGTGGTTGCAAAGAATATCTTATGTTTAAATTTGGGGCTCAAACAGTAAAAAATAAAATAAATAACACAAGCAGCCCTTTGCAGTGAAAAAACAAGGACTCACTACGCTTGCCAGCCCACTGACCTCTGAGATATGGGTAAATTAGGCTGCTTCCAGAGTAGTTGTTTCTCATGGCCTGGCCACCTCATAACCCTGGAAAAAGAAGTGATTAATTTGCCTGTGCTAAAAAAATAAAAAATTTTGAGACAGAGTCGCACTATGCAGTTCAGACTGGCCTGCAACTCAGACCCAGGCCAGTCTCGAATTTACAGCAATCTTCCTGCCTCAGCCTCCCAAATGCTGGGATTACAAGCCTATACTAGCAAATAACAAACTTCCTGAAAAGGAACTCAGACTGACTTTTACCCATTTCATCTAGAAAACTTTCAAAATCTTCTATGAGTTTACTTATGAAATTCCTGGGCCTTTCTCCTGCTGTGTTTGTTTGCTCATCCTCTCTCCCCCAATTCTACCCAACCACCATGCAACTCCCTTGTGCCAGTTTACCAGGTTTTCTCAGTGAACTAGACACAGATTTTGAACATTCACTCAACACACATTTCCAAAGGATCGCAAGGGGCCAGGCACTACACCAAGTGCTACAGACAAAGCAACGGTGTTATAACGGGGCTTTGCTGTAAGATGAATTGAGCTCAAGACCTTGAACTGGCCAGGTGGGTGCTGGGCCACTGAGCTATATCCCCAGCCTAGGTGTCTTATAATTTGGATCTTGCATGTTCCTCAAAAGCCTCTGTGTTCAGCAGCGTTTTGGAGGATGACTGGATCCTAGGAGCACTATACTCATCCATGTTTGAGCCACAGAATTCCAAGACGAATGTTCTATCAGAAAGTGGTGTTGGGGGGAAAGGCTGCCACTCCAGCGTGGCTTTGAAGGTGTGCTTCCCTGCCTGGCTTCTCGCTTCCCTCCGCTTCCTGACCACCAGGATGTGAGCACCTCCCCTCTTCCAGACCCTTCCACCACGCCCTTTCTCCCATAGAATCAGCTAGCCAAGGATGAAAATGTGCATCAAAATAAACCTTTGACCTTTAAATTGTGAGTGCTGGGTATTTTGTTCAAGGAACACAAAAGTGGCTGAAGCAGGCGTGGTCTCTACCATCATGGTGGGTGCAAATAATAAGTTCCGGGCATGGGATAATCGGGTTGCCATAGGTGTCCGAGACAATGGCACCAGCTGCATGGCATGAAGGAACAGGCTACAAGCAAAGGGTGCTGAGCTGAGGGCACATCACAGGCAAGCACCATGCATGGGAAGGAACTCAGAGATTAGAACAGTGTGCTTCTCAAGCCGGGCCTGATGGCGCACGCTTGTAATCCCAGCACTCTGGAGGCTGAGGCAGAGGATCACTGCGAGTTTGAGACCAGCCTGGGCTACAAAGTGAGCTCAAGGCCAGCCAGAACTGTGTACGAGACCCTATCTCAAGAAGACAAAAAGAAAAAAAGTGTGGTTCTCACTACAACTCTCCTTTCTGGACTTCAAGCTCTCCCTAACAGAAACATTTAAAAATATGTGCAACCTGTATTACCTCTTGATCATTGTGACAAATGTCTCACTCTCAAATGAACTAAAGAGCTGTTCTCGTCAACATTTACGTAACACATATATTAAGGCTTTGCGTGGAAGGATATGAGTAGCTTTGCTTTATTTTCTCAGTTATAGTACAAGTCCTTGGTAAGCAGAAATCTTTGCAGTCTTTATATATTCTAGAAAAAATCTTTACACATACAAGTCAAAGGATATGGTGGCGCCTGCCTGTATTCCCAGTGCTTAGGAGGCTGAAAACAGGAGGATCAGTACAAGTCTGATCTGTGTAGTGAGAGACACTGTAGACCCTGTACTAGATACATGAAGTAAAAATAAAAAAGAACGTCAAAGCATATATATTTATGTATTTTGCTGTCTCTAAAATTATAGTTCAAACTACTCAATGATTGCATAATATTCCAACTTGGAGCACGTCTCCAAGTTACTGAGTCACTTTGAAATAGTTAGGATATTTCCAATTTTTCACAAGTAACAATAATGACTTTTTGCAGGGGCCTGCCATGCCTGCCCCACCCCTGGGGCGCACTGAGACAGCAATTGAGACTGGGCATGGTGGCACATGCCTGTAATCCCAGCTCTTGGGAAGCTGTAAACAAGATAATCACTATGAGTCCGATCTAGTAGTGAGACCCTGAACACCTCTGTAAACCTTTCCCTAAAATACAGAATAATAATAATAATAATGACTTTTAAAAATCTTAAGTACAGGTGTGATTATTTTAAGTTAGTTTTTAGAAACAAAACTCTGACCGTTCACCTTTTAGCGCTTCATATACATCAATACATTTGCTCTCCCAATAGGTTGCACTACTCACCCTTCCCCCAGGAGTGTGAGTAGCCTATCTGTGTATTTGCTTATATTGACAATTATCATTTTTTAAATCTGTAAAATAAATAAATAAATAAAATAAATCTGTAATAAGCAAAGATGGTACTCCCCTCTGTATCACATTCTCCTCCTCTGCACTGAACTCAGGCCCTTGCACTTGCCAGGGAAGTGCTTATTCCACTGAGCCATCTCCCCGGCCCTTCATCCCAGCTTTTAAAACCACCGTTTATATTTCCTCACATGACTTGTTTTTTAAAGCCCTTCCTGGCAGGAGACAAGTTTCGTTCCCCTTTTAAAATGTCTTAGAGCTTTGGTTGGACACAGGGGCCAATAACTGAAAGGAGACAGCTCAGATGCTTACGTGCCTTTTTGGTAAGCGCAAGGCCCTAGGTTCCATCCCCAGTACAAAAAATAATAATAATAAGTTTGCAGAAACCCAATTGCTTGGAGTTGGAAACCATCCAGGGCTGCAAAGTGAGCTCAAGGCCAGCCTGAGCTGCACAGTGAGATCTTGTCTCAAAATGGCAAAAAAAATTTTCAAAAATCCACAAACCCTCAGTGCTCAATGTTATGGGTCACTCGGCACAGGAACCAGATCAGCCAGATTAAAATTTGAATAGAGCCTTTTATTTACTGAGCTCAGGTCCATCAGCCATTTCTCACGCAAGAGAAGACTGATCGGCAATCGAAGGTAGATAGCAGGGGTATTTATAACAGAAATCACATCCAGTTTGGTAAGCAAATTTGTTATCTAGCACAAAACAACAGAAAACTACATTTATTTGACACAGCTGCACACTGTTTGTAACTAAAGGGTCTCTTACAGTTTAGTGATAAGTGAATATTTTTATAAGATACATCAAAAATTTCCCAGTTAAAGCACAAAATTCTATTAACCCCTTACACGTAAACTGATTAAGTGGATGACCCACAAACTTGACTCCATGTACGTAAAGAACTTAATGAAGTCACTAAAAACCTATCCATTTTGTGTACACCTTAGGATTTATAGTAGACTCCCTGTACACTAAAAACTTTTTCTCTAGGTCCTCCAACGCAGCAGAGGGCGGAGCTCCACGGAGCAGAGCGGCGGGACTGCGCCAGCCAGCGGGCCGCAGCACTTCCGGCCTCCCCACAATGCGCAGCGGCGAGGACTCGCGTCCCAGGTTGCTGTGCGCCGAGCCCGAGCCCTGTCGTCACTGATCCTCTGCGAGGCTGCACAGGCGTTCCTCAGGGAACCTGCTTTGGGCTGTACCTCATCGTTCTCCAGGACCCCACTCCGTGGGGCGATAAAGGCGTGCGTTGGTTGGAAAGGGCAGTGGGAAAAGTGGAGCAGTTCCGAAACGCGCTCGCGAACTATGTCTGACAAGAGGTGGGCTGGCTTGTGTCAGCCCGGGGGACTACATTTCCCAGCATGCTCGAGGTGGCCGAACTACCTTACCCGAAAGGCTGAGCGAGGCGCCTTCCACTTCCGGCTGCCCGTCGGGACGCCGAGAGCATGAGGACTCGATGGGCCTGGCGTCTTCTGTGCTCCGACGCCGGCGGGGGCCTGTGGGCTGCGACTCCGCGCCGGCGTTTCTCACCGGCCCTGCGGAGAGGTGAGGCGAAGCATCGTGCGGCCGGTTCCGAGCACTGTCTGAGGAGACGGTCCCGGTGGGTCGCGAGGCGACGGCGGCGCGCCCTCCTCCCTGCCACGCCCTCCAGGCCTGAGCCCGACCGGCGGGAGCGAGGCCTGGGGCGCGCGCGGCCTTCCTTCCAGGAGCGCGCGCCTCGGGAGGCCTGGACCTGGCTCCCGGCTCCTTCCGAGCCCTTTTCATTCCTCACGGGCCTTCCAGGCCCGGCGTTCGTGTCGTCTCTGGGGCGCCCTGCTTTCTCTGGGGCCGGTTTAGATTGAGACATATGTGCATGCCTGTTGGCAGCCCAGGCAGGGTTTGCATCGCATATTTCAGAGCAGATTGGTTTGCTCTGGTTGTAATCTTCAGCCCTCTGTGACCACATGGCGACCGACCTGTGTCCAGTACCCCTTCCCACAGTTCGCACTGTTCTGCTGCTGCTTTCATTCCATGCACACCAGTTAACAGCCTTAGTGAAGACTACACTTCTTGATCCCTCTTTCTGTAAGACTGCTGTTTAGCTGCCAGGATCACCTACAAGATTACACATTTAAGTGTTCAACACACATGCACATTGTCACGGACTGTACAAAAACATTTTGAACTTTTGGAAAGCATCCAAATTTCAATTTTTCATTGCAAACTTTTAGAGCTGTATTTTGTTTAAATATTCAAATGAAAGCAAAATGGCGGGGCAAGGTGGGGTACACCTGTAATCCCAGTACTTGAAGGCTGAGGCAGGTGGATTGGGGGGAGTTCAAGGCCAGCTTGAACTACAAAGTGAGACCCAGTCTCAAAAAAAAAAGAATTACCAGGCATGGTGGCACCTACAACTCGGGAGGCTGAGACAGGAGAGTCACTGGGAGTTTGAGACCATCCTGGCCTACAAAGTGAACTCAAAGCCAGCCTGAACTGCGTAACAAGACCCTGTCTCAAAAAGACAAAAAAAAAAAAAAAAAGTTTTTAGAGTACATATTCTTGGAAAATACATCACCATAAATACTAGATATTTTACTATTTTAAGATAACTTTGAGCCTCATTAGTCTTGGGAAAACCTTAAGACTCCCCTTATGACTTAGTGTTCCTCTTCACTAAACAAGGTCTGTTATGTGCTCTTGTTTAAACTTGCCCAGGTACATAGTAACCAAGGACCTTTTGACTTCTGGCCCCTGCAAGGGTTTAAGTAAGATTGCTAAGTAATCAACGAGCCCCAATTCCTGTTGGTAAATGAGTAAAGGCATAAGGCAGCAGTGTGATTTTTTTTTTCCCCCTAAGTTTTATGCCCAGTAGCATTATATCCCATACTACTTCTCAAACTTAGAACATCAAAAATAGTGTAAGTGTTCTTAAAAATATAGGCTCTCAAGGTCCAAGTACTGAATTAGTTTATTATTTAACTCACAAATCTTAGTAATTCTGATGCAGGCAGCACAGCACGTGTCAGCTCAGGATAGAAAAGAATATATATTGTGATGCCTCTTCAGACAAAAATAATTCCAGACAAAAATAACCATCCATGTTACTCAGGTGTTTCAGCTCTAAAGTTAGCAGTAATTAATATAAAACTTTCAAGCTAGATTAATGAGACATTATAACATGTTTTCAAAGAGAAAACAGGTCTTTTTCTAGCAAAAAGCAGCATGGTGCAAGATAGGCCAGGGTTCAAATACATGATATAAAATTACAGCCTTTAAGCTGAGTAAGTCTTAAAACTTTGAATTTCTCAATCTAAAGACGCACAAACACATAATAGGTGTAAATTCTTTTTTTTTTTTTTAATGTATTTGGTATAAGATCCTCACTACACAGCTCAGACTTTCAATGATCCTCCTGTTTTCAGCCTCCCCAGTGCTGGGATTACAGGCGTGCAAGTGTGAAAGAATCAAAATATGTAACAAAGCTGTGGGCTTTACAAAAATGTTTAAATATTGAGAGCATTTTCCACCTTAAGTTCCCATAAGTCCGACTGGTTGTGTCAGGACAGTAAGTGTGACACCCAAAGAGGACAGCACAACCCCTTCCATCCTGCCAGAAATCAACCCCTGTAAGGGTTGTCAAGTATGTATCACATGAATGAGAAATAAGTGTTCATGCATGCTAACGTATGCTCACTTTTTGGTGGTGCTGGGGATGGAACCCTACCTCTGAGTGACACCCCCAGCCCTCTCCCCTCTTTTCAGTCCCATGATACATAAAAGGGTGAGACTAGCAAAGGCATCCATGCTCTTGGTGAATTCTGGTCACTGCCTCTGTTGTCTGGATAACTAAAGCACATCGTTATAGCTGGCCATCATGGTACACACTGGTAATCCCAGCACTCACAAAGCTGATGCAGGAGGAATGCTTCAAGTTTGCCACCAGCTTGGGTTACAAAGAGAATTCAAAGCCAGCCTGAACTGCATAACAAAACCCTTCTCAGAAAGACAAATTAATTCATTAAGACATTTATTAAAGAGCTACTCTTAGAGTGGGTGTGGTGGCACGCACCTGTAATCTCAGCTCTTGGGAGGCTGAAAACAGGATCACTATGAGTCCAGTCTGTATAGTGAGACCCTGTACTAAATACATTTTACTAAATACATTTTTTAAAAAAGAGCCACTCTTGCCAGGCACAGTTACTCAAGAGACTGAGATAGTTGGATTACAAAAGTTTGAGGCCAACCTGAAGTGTATAACAAAACCCTGTCTAAAAAAAAAAAAAAAAGCAGGGCTGAGGAGATAGCTTGGTGGTCTGAGTGCCTGCCTGGCAAGCAAGCACAAGGACCTGGGTTTGACTCGTGGTGCCTCAGACCATGCTAGCCCCAAAACTGGATGTGGTGCAGACGTCTGTAATCCCAGTGCTGGGGAGGCTGAGACAGGAGGATCACTATGAGTCCAGTGAGACTCTGTACCAAATTAAAGATTTAAAAATATTAAATAAAAGCTACTTTTGATCCATTCTCAGACAGGCAGATGTCTCTCCTTTATGCTCCCTTATGGCCATGCTTCCATATCCCATCATGAAAAGTCAGACCTGATAATGCACACTTATAATCTCTTCTATTTTAGATGCTGAGGCAGGAGGGCCATTTACTACCAGGACCAGCCTGAGCAACAGTGAGATCTCATTTCAAAAGAAACAAAACCTCTTTATTATAGTATGTATAGTAGCACCTTTCATTCAACAGCAGAACCATCTGGAATCACCAAGCATTAGGGATTCAATGATATGCAAGAGCAGATGCCTCTGCTCTTAATGACTTTGTGGTTAGCTAAAGAATCAAATACTTTAGGCTTGGTGAGACATGGTCAGTTACTACTTATTCTACCATGGTACCATAAAAGTGGCCACAGAGAACCCATAAATGAGCTATGTTCCAAGAAAACTGTCTAGATAGGGTTCTTTTTTTTTTTAACTAAACCTATTTAGAAAAAGAGGTGGTAGCCTAAAGGCGGTAGTTGAAGACACTAGTCAATTAGGGAAGTTAATAAGAGTCACAAATTATAAATCCTGAGGGATGTTGCAAAAGCATATTCCACAGCACAGTAAAGCAGGAACTTGATAAGGATAAGCTGGCCTGAATGCTGAAGGATAAACATGGGCAGAGGACTCTGAGAAAGAAAAACATACAGTACTTGGGGAATTAAAGTCAGCACCAAGGCTGGGGAGATGGCTTAGTAGAATAAGCGCTTCCCTGGCAAGCACAAGGGCCTGAGTTCAATCCCTGGTTCCGCCAAAAAGAAAAAAATCAGAGCACCCTTAAAAACAGGACCAGAGCATAGAGTGGGACAGGAAAGGAGCTGCACCCTGCAGTTGTTGGCAGCATTCAGGTATCTCAGTAGAAAGCTGACCTCTGAGCTAGTCCATGTTACTGAAGGGCGCTGCACTAAAATCCTCCGGAAAGAGGTAACATCTGACACAATTACTTAATTCTGAGCCTCAGCTTTCCTCCCACAGAATTCTAAGAAGAGGTGTGAAAGCAGTAAAACATTATCTTCTGTTACTGATTTTTCTGTAAACACCAAACAAGAATGAACAGGCCTGGTGTGGTGGTGGATGCCTGTAATCTCAGAATCTGGGAGGCTGAAGCAGGAGGATCACTGCAAGTTCAAGGCCAGCCTGTGCTACAGAGTAAATTCCAGGCCAGCCTAAACCGCACAGCAGAATCCTATCTCAAAAAGACAAAAAAAGAATGAACCTCTAATCAGAAATAGAACATAAAAGTACCAAGTCCTTATTCACATAATCATTACTAGAACTCCTGGTGAAATCTGCCTTTTCCTCATCTTTTCCTATCCTACCTTAGGTCTGACCTTGACATACAAAAGCAAATCTTAACCTTTTTAGATGACTTTTTTTTTTTGTATAGGAATTGAACTCAGGACTTCACACTTGCCAGGCAGGTGGTGCTACTGAGCTATTTCTCCAGCCCCTAGGTGATACTGAAGATGAGAAGAATGCTGACATTGTGCTAATACGTGCTTTAAAAGAAATTATTCTACCGTTACAACTGCGTCATCTAATCTCTTTAAATAGACTTTTTATTTTAATAAATTTTTATCTCATTACTTGAATTTACAGTTGATGTCTATATTTTTTTTTAACATCTGTTTCTGTTGACTGCTAGTTTGGAAGCTCAGTGAAGATTTCAGGTCTCTCTAGGTTTGTTATCTTCTCTGTCCACCATGGCATGATATCCCTTATTGTGTTAGCTGAAAAGATAGGAAGAAATCACATTTGCCCTACGAAATACTAGAAACAATGCCCCAAGTTACAGCTGTTCTCTTTTAAATATGTAAATACGTTAAGTGGCACAGAAGAGATGAGTCAGTGATGGAAAGAAAATAAGGGGCTGGGGAAATAGCTCAATGGTATAAGCGCCTGCCCGGAAAGCACAAGGTCCCAAGTTCAATCCCCAGTACTGCAAAAAGGGAAAAAAAAAAGTTTTAGAATCAAAAGAACCTAGGTCCGGATCCTGAATCGGCTGTTGGCTCTATAACCTAAGCAAATCCCTTTACCTTACCTAAGTACCAGGCTTTTTATCAAAAGTGAGTAATACTACCTTGTCGTGTTTAGCATATAAACTGTCTGATTCAGTATCGTGTGTTTGACTAGTAATTATTCTAACTGGAAGTTATTTAATATGTTGTAAAGAATTTGTATACAGGTAAGTTCTCTCCCAAAGCAAGTATCTTATAATGAAAATCATCACGGTATATAGAAAAGTATCATACTATGTAGATTGAAAAAGTAGGAATTGAAGGGATGGCCAGATAGCTCAATGGACTAAAACACCTGCTTAGGCAGAGCTTAGTGCCTGGGGTTTGATCCCAGGAATGCCGTGCCAACCCTGCCCACAGGGCGAGCTGAGATGTGAATTGAAACCGCGTGGTAGCACACTCCTGTAATCCCATCGCTTGGGAGGCTGAAAACGAGAGGATCACTATGAGTCCGATCTGTGTAGTGAGACCCTGTACCAAATACATAAAAAGGAAAAGAAAAAAAAAGTTGGAATTCATTGCAACAAGAAGAGTTATTTAACTGGGTATGGTGGTACATGCCTGTAATCCCAGCACTTGGGAGCCTAAGGCAGGATCTTTTCAAGTTCCAGACTAGCCTAAGCTACAAAGTGAGCTCAAGGCCACCCTCAACAGCATATGGCATAGCAAGACCCTGTCTTGAAAAAGAGGTATTTTTAAGTTAGAACTATTTCCTGGGGCTTTTGTACTAATACTGGTAAATAAGACTTTAAAATCAAATTAATTGACTCAGTAGTAAAAATTGTGATTCAACATTGTGCCAAAGAGTTCTAGGTGCTGAAGGTGCAATAATGAAAAATAAGTCATATGAACACAGAGCTTATGCTGTGGTTCAGAGACACAGCAAAAAGGACAACTTGAGTAGAGCTAACAACTATTGGAAGTAAACCATGTGGACATGTACGAGATGGTAGCGTGGACAGGCACTTTGGGTGGAAACACAGGTGTAAAGCTTCATGGCTGTAGGAGTGAGGTGGTTTCTGCTCTCCAGTAATTAAGAGTTAAGGCAATGGAATCCAAAGCATTTCTTATAAGTCATACTGTAAATTCTGACCAACTTCTAAATAGCGCACACTGTGCTGCTTCTAAATTATAATTAAGACATATTAGTGGACCAGATGAATGGGTCTCACTGTGCCATTTCCATGCATGCATACACAGCGCTTAGATGGGACCTCTCCTCCTTAAGTGGGTGCCTGCCCTCCCCCGCTTCCCTCCCTAGGAGCTCCACCAGGTGGGTTCTGTCAGCATTTCTGAGTAATGAAAGAAGGAATCACAGGACTGTCTGGCTACAATGCTGTATATGGTTAGATTTTTAAATTTTTGTGTAAAAATATGTGTTTATTTCTATTTTTTAAATTTTTTTCTTAATATTCTGTAAGGACTTAAAGTTCAACACATCAATACTTGATGGAAAATACCTGTTCCATGATAGGCCTAAGATGTTTGATACTTAGACAGATAGGGTAAACCAAACTGCATATGTTGCAGGGTAATAATAAACTTCTCTTCTGGAGGGTTAACAACCTAAGTTTGCAGATCAAAAATTGAAGAAAAGGAAGGGCTCCAAGTTCAGCCAACATTTTGGCCCTACCCTTTCAAGGTCAGTGAAGACTCAGGACATAGGAGAACCTGTACTATAACATCATGTAACTCAGTTGTGCCTCAAATTTTCTGGTCAAGGAGATTATGGGGCCACAGAGGAATGTGATCGATAATGTAGAGTGTGCCTAAGGAGAGTCACATGGAGAGAAAACTCTCAGGCTTTCACAGCAAATTGGTCAAGCAGTGGCCGTGACTTATCCACATGGCTGACACTGAAAAAGGATCTACAAAATGTGGTACGGGGCTACAGGATAAATCCTGAGGGGACTTGTCTGACCTTATCAGATACAAAAGTTACATTTCTTGTTATATAGGTCTTGCTTTATCTTGGTCTTAACCATCCAGCAGAAAAGTATAAAAATGAGGTATATAAAGTAAAGCCATATTAATATGCTGAGCTGTAAAAGGCTCTAGTCAACAACTTCTGCGGATAACCCACTACTATTGTGGACTGCTGGACTGTGTTGGGTTGTTTTGCTGAATTTAAGCACCTATAGTATTTAGATGCCAGTAGAATACCCTTCTCTGACAGGACTAAACAAAAAAAGGGGATACAAAGGAAGGACCATTTTGTAGTTGTATATACAGAATAGTTAGGATAGATATACAGCTACTTTCACTTAATTCAATGAGAAGAAAGATTTGTAGTAATAGTGTTTGGACAGGATATCCTGTCTGCTTTTTATACTATGGATAACCACTAAGAAGATAATAATGTACAGTGTATTAATTATTGAAAATGTCCTATTAATCAGCTTTGAAACTCTCATTGCTATTTGTTTCTCAATAAAATAAAAGGAAAGGAAACACTGAGTATTTGCTATGCACAGAATAATATCTGAGACTTTTCAGATAAAAATGGGGCTCCAAGGAGTGAATTTGTGAGATACAGAACTAAGAACTGGAACTGTGTGTAAATGGATGGGAAAAATGCTTTAGAACCCAAAGTATGACACCTCTACTGTTATTTTTTTTTTAATTTTTATTTATTTGTGTGTGTGTGTGTGTGTGTATGTGGCCAGCTTAGCCCACCAGGGGGCGGGGCTAGCTGGCATGTGGTGATGGTGGATTGAACCGCGGTCCCTGTGCTTTGCTAAGCTTGTTCTAAGTAGGTGCTTTAGACCACTGAGCCATCTCACCAGCCCCTCTACTGTTACTACAAGGGATAAAAAAGGCATTTTCTTTTCCTTTCAGATTTCTTGACCTCCACAAGCAAGGAAGGATATGACAGGCGACCAGTGGACATAACTCCTTTAGAACAAAGGAAATTAACTTTTGATACCCATTCACTGGTTCGGGATTTAGAAACTCATGGTAAGAAAAATGAGTACTGTTTCTTGAAAGAAGAAAGTTAATTGCACTCATAATAGTTACCCAGTCAAGACAGTGTTGCTGTTATAAGCAGTTAGGGAGTAAGTATTTTTATTTGAGGGTCTCAGCTTTCCCACCGCTGGCTTTACAGGCATGAGCCACCATGCCAGGTATGGTATGTGGTACTGGGGATCAAACTCAGGTCCTTGTACTTGCCAGGCAGGCACTTAGACTGCCGAGCTATCTCCCCCAAAAACTTGGGGAGTGCCATTCATACAATGGAAATTTTTTAATGTATTTGGTACAGGGTCTCACTACGCAGCTCAGACTTGTAGTGATCCTCCTGTTTTTAGCCTCTCCACTGCGGGGATTATAGGTGTGCGCCACCATGCCCAGCCTTGGTGACCAGCCCAATGTACCTGGGGCCAGGGCCAACGCCAGTGAGGCACGTGGTGACAGGTCAAACCCTGGTCCCTGCATTTGGCTAAACAGGCACTCAATCCCCTGAGCTATCTCACTGGCCCACAATAGGATATGTCTTTAAAACTGGTTTGCTTGGCCTGGCCAGATAGCTCAGCAGAGTAAAGCGCTTGCTTAGGCATATGCAGGGGTTGAGTTTCAATCCTCAGCCGACCTTGCCAGCCATGCCCCCAAGGCATACTGAGATGACTTGACTGAGACTGCATGGCAGCGAATGCCTGTAATCCCAGCACTTGGAAAGCTGAAAACAGGAGAATCACTACAAGTCCAAGTTGTGTAGTGAGACCATGTAGTCCCTGCACTAAATAAAAATTTTAAAAAATGCTTTGCTTAAAGAATATGAGAAATGCTCAAGATATATTAATGAAAAAGCATTATATAAAGATATATGTGCAGAATGATTCCAACTAAGTAAAAAGAAAAACTCATTTCTAAGCTGAACTCCAAGTGAAAGTACAGAGGTTCAAGACTTTGTTTTGTTTTGTTTTGTTTGTATTTTTAGTACAGGGTCTCACTACACAGATTGGACTCGTAGTGATTCTCCTGTGTTCAGCCTCCCAAGAGCTGAGATTACAGGCACGCCCCACAATGCCCTGTCTCAATCGCCGTCTCAGCCTGCCCTGGGGGCAGGGACAGCACGGCACACCAGGGATCGAACCCTGGCTTCTGTGTCTGCCTAAGCAGGCACTTTATTCTGCTGATCTATTTGGCCGGCCTGAGGTTCAATACTTTAAAAAAAAAAAGTAAACACAAAAAGTTCCCAGATATCTAATAATAATTTGTGATATGACAGGAATAGGAATGTTGATTGATAAAATAATGGTAATTGGAGACATATACATGAATGTGATGAAGGCACTGCAAATTAGGGAAACTTTGTCATTAAATATAAGGATTTAAATATAATGATTTAAATATTCCTTAAATATAAATAAGCTGTAATAAATGACTACCCACTGAAAAAAACTTACTGAAATTCCAGATGAATAAAAAACTAAATTAAGAGTTCTTAGGGACCAATAAGAAAAATTTCAACAGTTTTATAGAAAAATATGCAAAGAGCCAGGCATGATGATGCATACCTGTAAGCCCAGCACTCTGGGAGGCTGAAGCAGGAAGGCAGTAAGTTTGCGCCCAACCTAGGCAACTTCCTGACTCTAAGATCACCTTTGAAGCAAGAACAGCGTGTGGGACAGCTCAGCATGAGAGCCCAAGGGTGCAAGCCCCGTTACAGCAACAGCAGAAAATAACAGGAAAACCCAAGTAAGAAGATGTTGCTCTAGGTGTGTGAAGTACATAGTAACCTAGCATTACCTGGCCGCTTTTAATGTTAACTGTCTTTTTCAAACAGTGTAACAGTCAACTGTCCAACAAAGTAGAAAGCTTTTCTAGATACTCTAGTAAGGATGTGTAACATTTTATAGTTTAAAAATGTAAATACTTATATGTGGCCTGCAGGATTTGACAAGGCACAAGCGGAAACAATTGTGTCGGCATTGACCTCTTTATCAAATGCCAGCCTGGACACGATCTACAAGGAGATGGTCACTCAAGCGCAGCAGGTGATGCATTCATGTCTATCACTTCTGACGGACTCATTAGATGTTCTTTTTCAAGGAATGGAGGAGAAATGAAAAGAAAAGGAAGGGAAGACAAGAATGAAAGACCTTTAGTAGGGGCTGGTGAGATGGCTCAGTGGTCTAAAGCACCTACTTAGAACAAGCTTAAGCAAAGCAAAGCACGGGGACCGCGGTTCAATCCCCCAGCACCACATGCCAGCCAGCCCTGCCCCCTGGTGGGCTGAGCTGGCCACGCACGCACGCGCACACACGCACACACATAAATAAATAAATAAATAATTTAAATAAAATAAAGTAAGGAAATCCTTTAAAAAATTTTAAAAAAAAAGACCTTTAGTAAAGTCAGTATCTACAGCAATTTAAAAATTAGAATACTCTTAGTAAGATTACAGTCATAGAACAGAGTTTTGCCATACCTTTCCTTACATGTGTGGGTCATGAGATAGTAGCAGATTGCTAGTGAAGGGAAGATCTCTGCTTGGTTTTTACTTTACTGGATATATCAATTCTTAAAGTCATTGAATACTATTTAACAGATGTCTGTTGTATAACTAAGAATCTGATTTTTTTTCCTATGCTTATTTTTTAATGTTTTAAATGTATTAGGCCAGCCAGATAGCTCAGCAGATTAAAGCACCTGCTTCATCAGAGTGCAGCAGCCAGGGTTCGATTCCCACCTTGCCATGCCGGGCCCCGCCCCTGGGGCATGCTGAGATAGTGATTGAGACTGGGTGTGGTAGCGCATACTGGTAAACCCAGCGCTTGGGAGACTGAAAAAGGAGGATCACTAGGAGTCTGATCTAGGTAGTGAAACCCTAAACACCCTGTACTAAATAGAAAAAAAAAAATACATTTCCTCATAAATACTTCTTTTTTAAGTGATGCAGCTTTTTATTGAAATGTAAGTTTGCCTTTGGTGTGCCTCTGCACAATTAATGTATCTTTGCTGTTATACATGTTGATAATCTGTCAAACCTTGGCTCAGACTTTCTTAGTTTAGAGCAGCACTCAGACCATGTTAGTCTGTTTCCTGTGTCGGATATGATACCACTGAAAGCTGGCAACAACTGCTCACAAGCATAAGCTGGTCCAAAGGAAAGGGATCCCAAGGGCTTTCATTCATTCATTTCTAATTATTTGGCAGAGAGTTCCACACTTAAGGGTTTTCAGAACTAGTAGCTATACTGTCCCTTGTCACCTTTCACACTCTAGCTTCCCAAGTTTCATAGTAGGTCATAGAATTTTGTTTTTGCAGTACTGGGGATCAGACTTGGGACCTTACACTTGCCAGGCAAGTGCTTATGTCACTGAGGTATCTCCCCAGCCCCAGTCATGAATTTTGTTTTTCCAGATAGTGTTTTCTTGAAATTCCAATGGTTTCATTTCCAGATTTCCACAGTTTAACCAGTGTAAGCCAAAAAGATCAAGTTTTTCAAAACTGGCTTTATCTGGAACAGTAAAATACAGGTTTGTCTCCATCTTATGAAACTGTAAAACTAAAATTGTCCTTTGCAGCTGCTACAATGCTAGAGAATTCCTTCTAGATATGCTGGCAGCTTGTAGGATTGCCTGCAAATGTTGAATTTCCCAAGTGCATTTTTAGATTCAGAAAATATTTCAGCTGCCCAGGTTCAAGGTTTTTCATAAATGTACACTTTTCTTTCAAATGTTTTGACATCACAAAACACCCTTTCTGTTTTCCCTACACTTTGTATTGTTTTGTTCACTGTACTAAAGTGTCCCATAAAATTGTGACCCAAAGAAGCCCCCACACAGCACTGTAGATTCTTCCAGGCAGACACCAGTTTCGCCAGCTCCTGTCTTACATCACAGTAGCAGAACACAAATTACTGTCACCCTTGCATGGTTTGCACTGGTGCTTTCATCCTCCATGTGGCGTTCACAGCCTGCCCTTTGTGAGTCTGCAGGCCCTTGCCCTGCACAGAACTTGCTTTCATGGTGTTTCTGTTAAGTGGCAGGCCAGAGGTACGGCGCCTAATTTTAACCTGGTTGGGGAACGCATGGAAAAGGGAGTTACTCTCAGCCAGCATGGCCATTTTGATAAAACCTCCATCAGAGGGGGGTTACATTTTGCCACATGATGAAAACCATATCAACTGTGAGATGGTTTTAGAAAGATAGTAGCAAAAACTAAGACACTGGGGGGCTGGGGAGATGGCTCAGCGGAATAAGTGCTTCCCTGGCAAGCAAGGGCCTGAGTTCAATCCCTGGTTCTGCAAAAAAAAAAAAAAAAACTAAGACACTGGGAAAATTTCCACTCAAGAATCTTTCTTTCATGTTCACCAAGTTCGGCAACACTTTTGCGGTTCTTGTCAAAGTGCCACCTGACACTTGTGTCACACACAGTTCTTTTCACAGAAGACACAGCCCTTTCCATTGTGTTCAACTCCAGATGACTCTGTCCGGACCTCTTGATGATCTTCCAGTGTCCCTGGCATTTCTGATCTTGGTTGACAGTTTTCAGTCTTTTCATTCTGGTTCCATTTTTGTGCATTTTTGGCTGGAGCATCTCATGTCCATTTCTTCCCTGGAGATTTCAGTTTCCTTAGCGTGCTGTCCACTAACACGCACAAGCCCTGAACCACACCGCAAGCGTAAGACCACAGGTGGTTTCATTTCACAATTCCCAAGGGAAACCATTAGCTGTACAGACATTAAAAGTTGCCAGTGTTACTTTAATTGGATTGCTTTCGTAATTCATAGCCCGTTTCAGCAACGTGCAGCTTACCCTTTGCCTCAGCCCCTAAAGTGATGGAAGAGATAGTCTGGGGCTTCAGAGGGCTCAGGGAACTTGTGTCCGTATCCATTTTTCCATGGAGTGGTGGCACGAACTTAGGGGAGAGAGAACTCAGACAAGACTCCACAGGAGAGAAAATAGGACATTATCAAGCTAGGAGACATACAAGTATTTCAACGCACAAAAGAAAAATTAGGATTCCTCACATAAAACTAGAATTTATTGTATAAAATGTCACCACTTTAACTATCAAAAGCTTTTAAAGGGCCGGCCAAATAGCTCAGCGGAGTAAAGCACCTGCTTAGGCAGATGCAGGGGTCGGAGGTTCAATCCCTGGCTTGCCGTACCAGCCCCACCCCTGGGACTCATTGAGATGGGGATTGAGACTGGGCGTGCTGGTGCTCATCTGTAATCCCAGCGCTTGGTAGGCTGAAAACAGGAGAATCAATGTAAGTCCGATCTATATAGTGAAACCCTGTGGACCCTGTAAACCCTGCATTATATTTAAAAAAAGCTTTTAAAGATTATCTCTTAACTAAATATTTTAAAGTTATTCCCTATATTTATCTTTAAATTTGTGTATGCATCATTTTTTGCTTAATCTATTCAGTCATACTAGACAAGTAAATCCTTTAAAAAACTAAAGCAAAACATTTAACTCTCCCAAAGCTCTGACCTAGCCTAAGATAGTGACGTGGACCTCCTAGCCTAAGATAGTGACGTGGACCT